TTTTTATAAATTTTTTTTATAAATAAATTATTACTGCTGTCGCGCAGAACTCTTTGGCCATTCGTTTTCTGATCATAAGTGAACGTTAAAAATATTTTTAAACCAATGGAACTCTCAAACTGCGGCTAGCGCACCCCAGCTGCTGGTACATTTACGCGACCTCGGACACTATATAATTTTTTATAAATAATTTATTACCGCAATCGCGCAGAACTCTTTATATTTTTATTCCCTAATTACAAGTGAACGTTGAAAATATTTTTAAACCGACAGAACTCTCAAAGCGCAGGTAGCGCACCCCACCTGCTCGTAAATGTACGCGACCTTGAATACTATATGATTTTTTATAAATAAATTATTACTGCTGTCGCGCAGAACTCTTTGGACATTCGTTTTCTGATCATAAGTGAACGTTAAAAATATTTTTAAACCAATGGAACTCTCAAAGTGCGGCTGGCCCTCCTGCTGCTAAAGTTACGCGACCTCGAACACTTTATAATTTTTTAAGAAGAAATTATTTCTGCTATCGCATAAAACTCTTTATATTTTCATTCCCTGATTACAAGTCAATGTTGAAAATATTTTCAAATATGCAGAACTCGCGAAATAGTGTTAATCTCTCTTATTTTGTTGTCGGTATTTCATATTTTGTGAATTAGGTCTTCGCAAATCGACTTTTCGCTTTTAATTAGTAGAACTATTGTTATATATGATATAGAACTCTAGAACTATTGTAAAACAAACCGGAACTCTAAAGAAATAGTTGATTTTACTGATTAGGTGCGCTGCGTGAACTTAGCGCACCTTTTTTTAAAAGTCTATTTTTTTGTATTTAATGACCGGAACTATTTAAAATTGTTGCATAGAGCTCTAGAACTTTTCAAGAGAGTGTCAGAACTCTAAAAAAAATGTCACATTTTTAAATATGGTGTGCCAAGTTCACACAAGTGAGAGGGAGGAGGGTTGCGACGGAGGATATATATCGTTTTTTTTTTTACGTAATTATCGACAAAGTCGTAGACGAGGATGACGAGGCGGCTTTATATGAAATTTCGAGGCGCAAGCCGGATCGCAGTTTCGAGAAATACAGGAAATCAACGTGAACCAGTTGCGAATTCTCGTCACGTCGGCGTAGGTAATCCGGTCACTGGTGCAGTCGATGTATATTTATAATATGCTATGACATAATTGCGCCGGTATCGTGAGCAAATCGACGCGACACGACGTGCGACAATTGACTCCTTTCTTTTGATGTCTCCATTGTTGGAGACAAATAGTACTATGCTACGGTGACTCCGCGAATGAAGTTGTCACAATTAATTTTTTCAGGGATACTGACACGTATGTCAGTGCCACTTACACGCATGCCATTGACACACATATATGCGTTTAGATACGTCCAATTTTTCACGGGAAAAATAACCTAAATTGGATTAACGTGACATATTTGGTAAAGATTAAATAAATAAGATTTAATTAAACGTGACATATTTGGTTAAATAAGAACTAGTTAAACTACACGGAAAAAATTTTTGGTTATCATAATGAAATATTTTGTTTTTGAAATGTTCTGTAGTTAACCAGAACATTTAAGTCTAATAACGGTTAGAGGTTGGTTACTGTTAATTCAGTTATAACATCCAAGTGTCTGCTTATTATAACTAAACAGCATGGTTGTGTGGATGAATGTAACATATTTTGGTCAACAACTGGTTGAACTAAGTAGAATTTCCGGTTATTATAATCATATATTCCAGTATAAGTAAAATATAAAGTATTTTTTAAACAAGAGAATCTAAATTTTATTAAAATCTTAGTTTTTCATAAAATAAATTATTTACTTTATTTATATATAAGAATTTATATTCAAGCATATATGTTATTAATATTGTGTATCTATAAATAAATATTGTACAAAAACATTGTGATTAAATATTTTTTCTTTCAGTGTATAATCTTCGTTAATCGCGAGTCTTTGTGGAATAAAAATTGAACTTTTATTAAATTTCATCTTGTTAATTAAAAAGAAAATAAAAAAATTTTAGAATCAACTTTGTATCAATATTCACAATTTTGGATAGTTGTTTTTAATAGAAGAATAAGACAAAATAGTGCGTCTATCACTCTAATTTCCACTTTGTGGCGTACCAAAATAAAATCGTTCAACATCTCTCAGGTACTTGCGACTGATGGAAGGTTAAAATATAATTGAAATAACTGAGGACACACACACACAATGAACAGATTAAGAACCTCTTACCAGAATCTTGCAGTTTTTATATTGAGAAAAATACTTGAAAACTTATTTGTGGAATATGAAGTTTGTTCATAAAAATAAACTTTATTTTATAGAAATAAACTTTATAGAAATAAACTTTATTTCACAGGAATAAACTTCATACGTCACAAATAAGTTTTCAAGTTTTTTCTCAGTGTATAGTCAAATTTTCATCTGACCCTCAGGCCACGGAAATTTATTTACATGAACCAAGATTTATTTCGTGCAGGACTATGACACTTTTATGCCACTGTCGACTAAGTTGCACGAAGAGATGACTCGTTGAATTAATGTAAATTTTTTTTCAGAAGAACGACCGTATCGCATTTTTCGGGAAATACAATAGCCTCGATCACGCGATCCTGGCGTCTTGCTGCTTTAACGCGACTGCTCGTTAATCAGGAAGGGTTTCTCGATAAACTTGGCGATTATCATGATTGCCGGTATGAGCGGATCGGCCGAGGGAGCTGCTGCCCTAAGGCTGATGTACGTGCGTTTAATGTGCATCACGGCGGAAAAAAAGGAAAAAAACAGAAAATCCGACGCCACCAGGATCGATATATCGGATGCGATACGTCACGACAAGCGGCAGGTATTGCCCTTTTCCAAATCGATTTTTATTTGAATCGACGCTTCGAATTAAAGATGAGAATCAGTATCGTGCCAGAGAGACCAGCTCATGTTGGACATACGTTTCGTTTATGTATTTATTGTACGAAAAATTACGAAGAAATTGCTAAATGTTTCTTTTGGAACAATATAGATATTTTTAACTGCGTCTTATTAAAATTGGTAGAAATATTACCGTTAATAAATTAGTGAATTAATAACATATATTTTATTTAAAAAAAACACAAATTATAAATAAAAAATAAAATTATGAATAAAACTTAATAAATTTTGTGATAAAAGAAATGAAAGTCTGATTTAAGACCAGCCGCGTAAATTAAGTGTTTTAAATTATTCGCCGTGAGAGAATAGATAAATTAAAATAACATGTTATTGAAGTTACATGAATTTTATTTAAAATATATGAATTTTTCTGCTGCTAATAATGTACTCTTTCGTATAATAAAATTAATTTTTATTAAAGAATTGTTGAAATTTTGAATATATGGACAGATGGAAAATTACATTTTGATGTAAATAAAAGTTAACTCATATTTTAAATTATTCTACGCGTTCATGTATTTGATATATATAGGTATTAATAGATCTACATATTAACTTTAAAAAACTAAAATGTTAATAATAATTTGTTAATTATAATGTTGAATAAAAATTTGTTAATGTAAATAAAACTCTAATATAAATGAAAAATAAAATTCATTACATTGTAGCTATCAAAAATATGTTCTTACAAAAATATTATTCGAATCAATTCAGAGTTGAAGAAAAAATCTTACTTTATTAAAAAATAATTATAAACGGTAAAATATTGTTCACGGATGCCTACCCTGGGCTGCGCATCGACTTAACAATTAACCTGTAATGATTTTGTAATACTTTATGTATTATATTTCCTTTGGCAGCCTTTGGTTAATTTTCTTCTTAAAGATAAGATGACTAAATAATCGTAAAGATCTATAATTGATATATAAAAATACGAAAAATAGAGTAAAATGTTAAAAAAACCAATATCACAATTATTTTTCTAACAGCGTCTATCGTCTATGTATATGTTTATAAATATATATTTAACATAAGCAGTCCCAAACAAAAGTGTTAATACGTCAAAGTGCGAAAAACAATTATTCCTTTCTTTTTTTAAACATTATATAAGTTATGTAAGTTTGATTGATTCTTTCGCTATAATGCCAAAACTATATGTATATATTATAAATAATATTTATAAATATTTAGGATAGAGATTTATAAGCTTCTTCGTGTTGTATTAATTGTTACTTAACATAATTTTCTAACAATATTGTCGGCAAATAATTACCTTAAATTTCTCGATAACTTGCGAACAACTTCCATTTACTTTGGTTTACCTTCGTGAAGAACATCTGATTACCTTCTGGACGTTTGCTTGCTGCTTTGCAGTGCGTATATTTATTGAAAGTTACCGACAAACCTGCCCAACGCTATCCTGTACGCTATTTTGACATGATTGTTCATTTTGTGAGCTCCTCCCTTATAGAAAAGTATTACTTGGTTGTTAAATAATAAATTACTATTGCTCAGTAATTTTATTATTACTGGCTAATAATTTTAAGTATTTAAATTACAAGGTTACTAATGTTACAAAGTAATTCAGTGATTATAGTGACAATCACTGATGATAATCACTGATGTATTATTCTCTTCTGATGAAGTACAAATTATTTCATAATAGCGAGATAGATGAGATCAATTTTCTCATGATAGTATTTGTTTCATATCTTGTACTTTTTAAAATTAACTTATTATTTGTTCTAGTTCATTATAATGTTTAGTTAAAAATTTAAAAGCAGACATATTATTACTTCGCTGTTCATATACATTATATCAATATAGTTGTATTCTGATTGTTGACGAGTCATTTTCGATATTTACCAGCATATGTCATTACAATGTTTTTTGAGAGACATAAAGCTTAATCTAAATATACTTTTTGCTTCCTGTTTTTTTTTCTTAATCTCTTTCTGACTTAAATCTTAAGCCTTAAGCCAGAAAAAGATAGAGAATAGAAGACAAAAATAAAGGATACATTGTAGATCAAGCTTAAGAATATATTATAAATATGATTTATCAAGATATCGTCAAAAATCATTGGTACCAGTTTCTGTTTGATCATTGAGGTCAAGTATCCAATAATACGATGTAAGAAAAAGATGGGTAATGTCCATTCGAAAATGAAGCAATCGTATAGCTTATTAGAAGCTGATCATGGTCCCACTTGGAGCGTTCAGAAAGAGTCGAATCTTGTAAGAGCATTTTGAAAACAGTGAAGTTCTCTGCGAGTGGTCATAGATTTTTTGACCGTTCATTAGACAGCGTCATTAGACGCTTCTAAAATGTTTTGAAAAGATTTGTGTTCATTCCTCCGCTTTTACCATAATCAGCTTTTAGCAAACTACGTGGCTGCTCATATTAGACTTGCAACATTTTCTCACGCAATTAACGGGACGCCTGAACGTATGTTTGCTGAACGTTCGTGGAAAACTGCATTTTCGATTAGATATCATATCAGCTGGTACAAAAGAGCAAAAGTTAACGTTATATTCAGTTTGAAGAAGTGAAACAATTCTCGGGAGCAAAAGCGACACGCGCGTGTCGCTCTCAGCGCTCGACAATGCGTACCTTTGTTTCTCGTCTTAAATGCTGTATCCAATTTTCCCGCGTCGATTGGCTCTAGCAACATCACAGCGCGCACGAAAGCAGGTACCGAGAACCGAGCTCGTGATGATGCAGGTCATTTCCCGGTCGTTGACCGTTAGCAGGGTTGCACACGAACAAAAACCGTTCCCTCCATAAGCCAGAGCGTGTGTGCCACAAAGTGGCTAACCCTATCAGGACGGCGGCGTACAAAGTTTTGTCCACACTCACCGGCTTCCCATGACGAGATCGGGCATTTTTCGGATCATTTTTCTTCGACCTTGCTTTCGTCAGATGTCTGTTACTCGTGAGTAAGTTTTTTTAAATTCTTTTTTGAATTGAAAGAAATTGATAATATTATTTTTTTCAATTCTATTTTTCAAACTTCATCATTTTTCATTATTGATTTAATGGATTTTGAATTTATTCTTAAAAGTTCTTAAGTTTCTTCAAAAGTTCATGTAAAAGTAAATCTTTAAGTTTGACTCGTGAATAACGAAATTATTGGAAGAAATCGATAACTGATTATTTTTTCAACTTTTCTCTACTTCAAGCTTTATCATTTTTTTATTATCGACTTAACGAATCGAATTTATTCTTAACATTTTTTAACTTCCCTAAACGTTCAAAAATTCACGCGACGAGTTTTAGATCAACTTATATAAAATTGTACATAATTGCGTCAAAGTAGACATAGAATCAGGACAGATATCAGACATTGTGCGCGACGTAACATCTTTAAATTTGACTTGTTATATCGAGTTCATCTTGAGATCACATTTCTTCTATGTTCGATTAAACATTCAATTTTCCTCTAGTAAGTTATTTCCTTTACTCATCTGTCTGCTATTCATAAATTCAAAGTGCGTTCCTTTCTACTTCGTGGGCTAAAAGATTCATATGCTGCAAGACACTCGCGCATGTCTCCCTCATATCACAATTTCAAATTTAAACTAAATTCTTAATAAACTTCTTCTAGGCGAAATATTACTTAAACCATTGGAAATTCTTCGACAACAGGTATCGTGAACATCGATTTGCAGTTGCTTAAAGCAATACAGTATTGCTTAATCTGAAGTTACCGGACGTGTATAAACATAAAAATTCGCGCGACGAGTTTTAGGTCAACTTATATAAAATTGTATAAAATTGCGTTAAAGTAGACACAGAAGCAGGACAGATATCTACATTGTGTGCGACATCGACGTCAAGTCCGTGGTCAACATTTTTTCGGCCTAAGTTAATTCGGTTTACGGCGTTCCATACGGGACGCGGGGAAATCTCGATGGAAATTCTTATGGCCAAGAATTTCCGTGTTACCTCAAGAGTCTTAGTTTTTAAACCGGTTTTTTAAACTCAACACCCAGAGCTACGACGAGAAAATTGTTCTCTGGTGAAAAAGAAAATCGAAAGGAGCTATTTCGAACGCAACACGCCATTACGTGTCGATCTATCTGACATCGCGCGATTACGCGATAAAAGATGAAGAGGTTTTCCCCCTTGCGGTAACTTATCTTGAAGAAAGGTTAATGTTTAAAGAGACTCAGCGTATCGCGTCGTGAACTTCTAGATTGGACCTCGATTTACCGCAAGGCTGTATAAGTTTCTATTAGCCTACTTTGTAAGATTAGTTATGTGGCATAATCTTCTGGAATACTGATGATTACACAGAGAGAGAACGATTTTTTTCCTGGATTTAATAAATTTTATTAAACTCAAAGAAATTTCTATGTATTTGACTAGTCCAAATAAAGTAATTTTGACTCAATAAATACGATTGTTCGGCTTTTCAATAATTTTATTGTTTGGCCTAAATAGTTTATTAAATTGTTTCACTTAATTTTTCCATTTTATTAAAAAAATCCGCGATATAGTTCTGTTTAGATATAATCTTATGAAACTTGATATTTCTTTTCTCACCTTACTGACAGTCTGTCTTTTTATTACTTCATCATGTGTATATCTTTCTCCCGTGATTTTTCATTCAAATACTTATATCAATCATTCTGTGATGTGGTTATCTATTCTTTTTAAGTTGCTTAATTTCAAGAATTAATGGTGCTAACTCGCTCTGACGACTTACTTATAGCATTATATTTATAATGTACCCTTATAATATCCAAAAAGCTTTTTCATACCGAGCTTTTTCATAAGATTTTTATTTACTGATAATTATTGAAAACAACGCGATCAAGAATAGTTTATATTCACAGATTGACAGAATGTACATTAACGGATCCATAACGCCATAATTGATCTTTGATTTTTAACTAAACATTATATTGGTTATTCTGAAAAATAGATTTTTAGAGTAAAAAACGAAACGTTTAAAATAATAATTTTTTTCAAAAATATGATTTAATTCAACGAAACAAAATTTAAAATATAACCAAATAATATATTATTTGATTGAAAATAAAATTCTATGTCTTGTAAATAATAGTGTTCTTTTTCCATTAAACAACATAGTTTAATATGATGAAGTAAATGATGCTTGATATAAAATTATATTATTTGAATCCACTAAATCCAGTATAAACAAATCTATCGTATTCATCAATCTTCTTCAATTAAAAACTCGCAAAATTTTACGTGACTATTTCCGAAATAGTAGAGAAATTTTGTGTTCAGTTTAATAAGTTCTACCTGCACCCAACGGGTGTGTCACGAATTGTCAAATAAACTACCAATCTCATATAAAAATTTTGATTATATATTTAATTTTTGCTACAAATTAAACTTTAGATACTTAAAGCAAACGTTGCAACTTTTTTTAAATAATAAACTGTATCTTTTCAATTGCGTTTTTAACTAGTAAATCAAATAAGATCATTCTTATAATTTAAATTGTAAATAAATAAATGCGACCGAGGCGGAATTCAAATTTGTTCCGAATTACGATCGTTCGTTTTTTTTGCTTGTTAACCCTTTAGCTGCGAGAGGCGTATATGTACGCCCCAAGAAAGTGGCTGCCCATGTACGAGAGGTATATTTATACGCCTTGACATATCCATCAATGTATACGAGAGCCATATATATACACCTTGTATATTTGGTTTGATATGCATTTTATTTCTCACAAAAATATGATACATTGTCGCGCTATATTCCTTAGTATCCCTTAATATAGTTCTAAGCAGACAAGTAAATACTTTGCAAGAAGCGCGCACGGAAAAAAAAAGATTTGCTAATATATGGACAACTAAAAATATTAACTGCACGAGCAAATTTTCTTGCTTTTATAGCAAAGTTATTTAGTTATGATAGCTAAGAGATTTGCTAATATATATATTATATATATAGATATATAGATAATATATATATTAGCAAATCTTTTAGCTATCACAACTAAATAACTTTGCTATGAAAACAAGACAATTTTCTCCTGCAGTTAATATTTTTAGTTGTTCATATATTAGCAAATCTTTTAGCTATCACAACTAAATAACTTTGCTATGAAAACAAGACAATTTTCTCCTGCAGTTAATATTTTTAGTTGTTCATATATTAGCAAATCTTTTTTTTCCGTGAACTACCCAAGCGGCCTGGCTTCGGTGACGTGATAAGCGAGTACGCAGTGAGTAATTCTCACTTGCGCCGCAGCTAAAATGTTAAAAAGTAATTCGACATGAGATCGACGAAATGATGCCAATCACTTGCGCTGCTTCGAGCAATCCGATTTGCGTTGTTTCTGCAATTCACCGCCTCAATTTCGCGTAAGAGTAAGAGGTATCACGAAGGCAGATACTATCCAGCGACTACCGGAGCGAATCGAGAGAAAAGGAAACCTTACCGGGGCCTTGGACCGAAATTACTTCGAGGAATGCAATCTCCTAACCTCGCGCAACTCTCGGAAGAAGCTTACGATCGAGCGTGAGCGCGCGGTCAGAGGAGCTCGTCGTTCTCGCGCTCTCCGTTAATGTAAAACGCGATAGTAATTGCTATGTCCTGAGTCCCTTTCGTACGATCGACAAAGGCGTACTGGAACAGCCAATCATTCAGACACGACTGTGTGAGATGTTATTGAATCGGTATATCGTTCACAAAACGAAAAATAATATAGAACATTGGAAAAAGAAGGTATATCCTCTTAGGGCCGACTTTTCAATAATAGCTTAAACTCACATTTCAGTTTATAAACTCTGTTCAAATATACCAAACACATTGTCAGAACCTAAAAAATACACGTTTAAAATATTATTGAAAAATTGGCCCTTATCATTGGAGTAAAAT